AGCCTTAGGTAACGCATACGTGCGAAATGCGACGTTCTCTGTAGGAGGAGGAGGAGAGGTTGCAAGATAAGGCAGCCCTAATTTTTGGCCCAGATAACCGGTGGCGGCAGATAACCGTCGGCTGTAGGATAGTAAATGTGTTCTGAAATATTTTGACAAATATTTGGACAAAGCTTATATATAGCTTATGTACTTTTTAATCCGCTTTTGTTAATAGTGTTGAGTCCGGCTTGATGCAACCTATTGTTTTAAAACATTTTAATTATAACAGTGAATAATATATATATATATATATATATATATATATATATATATATATATATATATATATATATATATAATAAAGGGAAGGGAGTACCACCTCTGGCTGGAAGAAGGGGGACCCATAGCCTCGGAGGAAACCACACATAACGCATTGGAGGGAATGTAGGTCCCCTCCAATACAGTTTCTGGGTCCTTTTCTCCTACCTCCCCTTTTTTTTTCTTTGTATATATATATATATATATATATATATATATATATATATATATATATATATATATATATATATATATAATATATGTTAAATATGACCGAAAAAGTAAGATTAATAAGTCTAACACGAATTTGTAAAACACGCGTTTTGTAATAACTTATTACATTTTCAAAGACTTTAGTTTACACACACACAACTGTAACCTGAAAACACTAAACAGAGTTTTACTTACGCTAAACACTTAAACAGCTTGTCTTATATACTCGCATTTGGGTGAGGTGATATGTTGCAACAGTTTTGGATGAGGTGAACAAACTTTTGACCAACACAAGACAGAACACGGAACAATGGGTATAAATTGGATAAATGAGAGGGAAGAATGGAAGTAACTGCCAAGGGCCTATTGGCCCATACTTCCTCTTGATGCTTCTATATTGGTACGGAGTCTTGAAGTGGGTGGAATATAGTTGTGCATTAATTGGCTGTTGATTGCTGGTGTTGACTTTTTTGATGTGTAGTGCCTCGCAGATGTCAAGCCGCCTGCTATCGCTGTATCTATCGATGATTTCTGTGTTGTTTGTTAAGACTTCTCTGGTGATGGTCTGGTTGTGGGAAGAGATTATATGTTCCTTAATGGAGCCCTGCTGCTTATGCGTCGTTAATCGCCTGGAAAGAGATGTTGTTGCCTTGCCTATATACTGAATTCTTTGGGGCTTACAGTCCCCAAGTGGGCATTTCAAGGCATAGACGACGTTGGTCTCCTTTAAGGCGTTCTGCTTTGTGTCTGGAGAGTTTCTCATGAGTAGGCTGGCCGTTTTTTCGGTTTTATAGTAAAGTGTCAGTTGTATCTTCTGATTTTGTCTGTAGGGATAATGTTCCTATTAACAATATCTTTCATGACCCTTTCCTCCGTTTTATGAGCTGTGGAAAAGAAGTTCCTGTAAAATAGTCTAATAGGGGGTATAGGTGTTGTGTTAGTTGTCTCTTCAGAGGTTGCATGGCGTTTCACTTTCCTTTTTATGATGTCTTCAGCGAAACCATTGGAGAAGCCGTTGTTGACTAGGACCTGCCTTACCTTACAGAGTTCTTCATCGACTTGCTTCCATCCTGAGCTGTGGCTGAGAGCACGGTCGACGTAAGCGTTGACAACACTCCTCTTGTACCTGTCTGAGCAGCCACTGTTTGCACCATTCCTTTTCCCCGTCCCATCCCAAATCCTTATCCTGACCCCTTCCCAGTGCTATTTAGTCGTAATGGCTTGGCGCTTTCCCTTGAGTATTTTCCTCCGTTCCTCTTCTATCTGGCCTGAAACAGGCTTTCGGGCGATGGAATGAGGGCTGTTGGCTTACCGAAAAGCCTGTGGCTGATCGTAATATTCTATTCTAGTCTGTGCAGTCCGACTTTGGTCAGAAAGGACAAGTGTTCATCAGCCAAGCTTGTTCTCTCAGAACGTTTTATTGATATCATGAAGGAAAAATAACTGTTCACACACCCATGTAGAACCGAACATTACCCTGATCCTTGTGGCAAACTTCATAAAGTTTTATTTTAACTTCTCAGGCAGGTATGAACAGACACCAGGTGTGCCCACTACAAGATGCTTTCCTCTGAGGGTAGAGCCCGACTGCATTTCTAACAGTTCTATCTGCAGGTTTTCTTTCGCCTTGACGACATCACAGGTGAATGGTGAGGAGAATATAGCCAAGTGGTGTTGACAAGATGAGAAATGACGAAATCCTTCCTCAAATTCCTTTGAGAACAATTCCTGGTGACAGTGTGTAGTTAACGGAGCTAAGTACACAGTCAGTATTGACAGTCTCTCGCAGCTCTTTGCGCTTCACGGCTGCATTTGCGTTTCTTTTGTGGTGTTGAAATCTATTAAAAAGTGATAGTTTAAATGATAAAAACTTCAGTTTTGACTGTTAAATGACCTAATTACAGTGTCCTCCGTGAGGGGGGGGGGGCACAGTGGGAGGGCCCCCAGGACACACCCACAGAGGGGGACCACTATGGGAGGGCCCCCAGGACACACCCACAGAGGGGACCACTATGGGAGGGCCCCCAGGACACACCCACAGAGGGGACCACTATGGGAGGGCCCCCAGGACACACCCACAGAGGAGACCACTATGGGAGGGCCCCCAGGACACACAGAGGGGACCACTATGGGAGGGCCCCCAGGACACACCCACAGAGGAGACCACTATGGGAGGGCCCCTAGGACACACCCACAGAAGGGGCCACTATGGGAGGGCCCCCAGGACACACCCACAGAGGGGACCACTATGGGAGGGCCCCCAGGACACACCCACAGAGGGGACCACTATGGGAGGGCTCCCAGGACACACCCACAGAGGAGACCACTATGGGAGGGCCCCCAGGACACACCCACAGAGGAGACCACTATGGGAGGGCCCCCAGGACACACCCACAGAGGAGACCACTATGGGAGGGCCCCCAGGACACACAGGGGGCCACTATGGGAGGGCCCCTAGGACACACCCACAGAGGGGACCACTATGGGAGGGCCCCCAGGACACACAGAGGGGGCCACTATGGGAGGGCCCCCAGGACACACAGAGGGGGCCACTATGGGAGGGCCCCCAGGACACACCAAGGGGGCCCTCCAGGGAGCAGGGCCCGGGAGGCGGAATGATACACTGGTAATCCCTCGAGGCTCCTGATCTTAACAAGCGAACAATTACAACTTGCCACAGTGCCAGGAGAGTGCCAGGAGAGTGTCAGGATAGTGCCAGGATAGTGCCAGGATAGTGCCAGGAGAGTGCCAGGAGAGTGTCAGGAGAGTGTCAGGATAGTGCCAGGATAGTGCCAGGATAGTGCCAGGAGAGTGCCAGGATAGTGCCAGGATAGTGCCAGGAGAGTGCCAGGAGAGTGTCAGGATAGTGCCAGGAGAGTGTCAGGAGAGTGCCAGGATAGTGCCAGGATAGTGCCAGGAGAGTGCCAGGAGAGTGGCAGGAGAGTGCCAGGAGAGTGGCAGGAGAGTGGCAGGAGAGTGGCAGGGGAGTGGCAGGGGAGTGGCAGGAGAGTGGCAGGAGAGTGGCAGGAGAGTGGCAGGAGAGTGGCAGGAGAGTGGCAGGAGAGTGTCAGGAGAGTGTCAGGGGAGTGGCAGGGGAGTGGCAGGAGAGTGGCAGGAGAGTGGCAGGAGAGTGGCAGGAGAGTGGCAGGAGAGTGGCAGGAGAGTGGCAGGAGAGTGGCAGGAGAGTGCCAGGAGAGTGTCAGGAGAGTGCCAGGAGTGTCACCATCACATGTTGGCATCTCAAGGCATGACACTGTTGATATGCTTGCTAAGACAGCCTGCAGAAAACCAGTGGTAGAAATTGATATGGGCGTTTCATTAGCAGTGACAAAGAGAATACTTAAACAAATATCTAATGAAGATCTCACCGACCTAACAAATTCACAAAGACCTGAAAGTTGTAGCATTAAATATTATGATAGATATCGTGAGGAGACATTCACATATGGGACTAATAGAACAAGAACTCGGCAATGTGATGTTATAGTGGCCAGAATACGCCTGGGATATAGACGTATCTGGCAGCTTTCTCAAAACCCAAATGTCGAGTACACAATGTGTCAACTTTGTGAAAGAGAAAACATGCACTCTCTTGAACATTATATTGTAGAATGTCCCATATTGACTGACTTTCGCCCTCCTGGGCTAAGGTATGCTGAACTCTGTAGTTACTATATGAGTACTGGAACGCTTGATGATATATTGGACTTGTACCCAAGATTAACCATGTAATGTATCAATTATACAATGTATGTATGTGATGTAACTATATAACCTGAGCTTGTAAAAGCACCTTAATCACCTTCAGTGGTTAAGTGCTTAATTGCACACTAGTTTCTCTATCAGCTATCTCACCCTCTGTGAGTAGGAGAGCCATAAATGTATGTGTATGTATGTATGTATGTATGTGTATGCATGTGTGTTTGTATGTATATATGTATATGTGTGCGTATGTATATGTATGTATGTGTATAAAGTATATGTGGAAGCTGATCAGAATTACATTTCACCTTTGTAAATGCACAATAATGACACTATGTAAAGAACACATCAACCATCAGTCCAGAACACATCAGAACACAAGAACACATCAGTCCAGCAACCAGGAGGCCTGGTCGACGACCGGGCCGCGGGGACACTAAGCCCCGGAAGCACCTCAAGGTAGCCTCAAGGTAGGTAGCCACCACTTTATGTAGGGCAGATGTAACTCTGTGTATCTATGTATTTACGTATGTAAGTTAGCTTAGCATTTTAAAAGCACTACAATCACCATCTGTGGTTGATTGTTCAATAAATCCCTGAACTATATGTTTAACACATCTCTAACCCAGTCCATGGAGGACAGAAGAAAATGTATATATATGCTGGTTAGCACTGTAAATATCAGGCCACGTCTGTGGTATAAAATAATAATAAAAACATATATAAGTTGTATTTAATAACATTAATTCTGAAACTTACCTCAAGTTATTCTGTCTTCCTCAGAGATCTTAGAGACGTTGTGCGATAACTTCCTGCCCAGGAATGTCTCCGCTATTCTCTATCTCTTCAACTCTGAGACCTACGGGAGATCTACCGCCTCAGTCCAGTACTTTTTCCAGCTGGCTGGCTATCTGGGTATTCCTGTTATCGCCTGGAACGCCGATAACTCAGGCTTGGAGAGGGTAGGTGATCATCATTTCTGTTATCTTAGATCCTTGACCTCATGTCCCAGCTCCTTGGCCTCATATCCCAGCTCCTTGGCCTCTTATCCCAGCTCCTTGCACTCATATCCCAGCTCCTTGGCCTCTTATCCCAGCTCCTTGCACTCATATCCCAGCTCCTTATCCTCATATCCCAGCTCCTTGGCCTCATATCCCAGCTCCTTGTCCTCATATCCCAGCTCCTTGTCCTCATATCCCAGCTCCTTGGCCTCATATCCCAGCTCCTTGGCCTCTTATTCCAGCTCCTTGCACTCATATCCCAGCTCCTTATCCTTATATCCCAGCTCCTTGCCCTCATATCCCAGCTCCTTGCCCTCATATCCCAGCTCCTTGTCCTCATATCCCAGCTCCTTATCCTTATATCCCAGCTCCTTGCCCTCATATCCCAGCTCCTTGCCCTCATATCCCAGCTCCTTGTCCTCATATCCCAGCTCCTTATCCTTATATCCCATCTCCTTGTCCTCATATCCCAGCTCCTTGTCCTTATATCCCAGCTCCTTGGCCTCATATCCCAGCTCCTTGTCCTCATATCCCAGTTCCTTATCCTTATATCCCAGCTCCTTGGCCTCATATCCCTGCTCCTTATCCTTATATCCCAGCTCCTTTTCCACATATCCCAGCTCCTTGGCCTCATATCCCAGCTCCTTGGCCTCATATCCCAGCTCCTTTCCCATATATCCATTCCAAGAAACATTTAGATAAGTTCTTGCAAGGAGTGCCGGACCAACCGGGCTGTGGTGGGTATGTGGGCCTGTGGGCCGCTCCAAGCAACAGCCTGGTGGACCAAACTCTCACAAGTCAAGCCTGGCCTCAGGCCAGGCTTGTGGAGTAGAACAACTCGTGAAACCCTCTCAGGTATGTTCCAGGTAAGCGTTATACTCATTATATAAGGCTTAGCACTTTCTCCTCATAATTCTCCTTATTGGGTAAATGGTCTACAAGCTATATAAATGGGGAATATACAGGATAGTGTATATCCTGGATAACTGGAATATATCTAGGATAAATGGGGGCATATCCTAAATGAATGGTATATATGTCCTGGATAAATGGGATATATATATATATATCCTGGATAAATGGGATATATATCTTGGATAAATGGGATATATATCCTGGATAAATGGGATATATATCCTGGATAAATGGGATCCTGGACAAATGGGATATATGGGGCATATCTTGGATAAATGGGGGTGGCACATCTTAGATAAATGGTGAATATCCTGGATAAATGGGATATATATCCTGGATAAATGGGGGTATAGCTAGGATAAATGGGGGTAATTTCTTGAATATAGAAACTATACAATTCAAAGTTAAACAGGACTTAGCGAGTTTAAAAGACGCAATAAATCTCAGAATCCAATGTGGTAATGGTTCCCCTGTCTCCCTCAACCGTTAATTACCTGTGGGTTAATTACCTGTGGGTTAATTACCTGTGGGTCAATTACCTGTGGGTCAATTACCTGTGGGTCAATTACCTGTGGGTTAGTTACCTGTGGGTTAATTACCTGTGGGTCAATTACCTGTGGGTTAATTACCTGTGGGTTAGTTACCTGTGGGTTAGTTACCTGTTGGTTAATTACCTGTGGGTTAATTACCTGTGGGTTAGTTACCTGTGGGTTAGTTACCTGTGGGTTAATTACCTGTGGGTTAGTTACCTGTGGGTTAGTTACCTGTGGGTTAGTTACCTGTGGGTTAGTTACCTGTGGGTTAGTTACCTGTGGGTTAGTTACCTGTGGGTTAGTTACCTGTGGGTTAGTTACCTGTGGGTTAATTACCTGTGGGTTAATTACCTGTGGGTTAGTTACCTGTGGGTTAGTTACCTGTGGGTTAGTTACCTGTGGGTTAATTACCTGTGGGTTAATTACCTGTGGGTTAATTACCTGTGGGTTAGTTACCTGTGGGTTAGTTACCTGTGGGTTAGTTACCTGTGGGTTAATTACCTGTGGGTTAATTACCTGTGGGTTAATTACCTGTGGGTTAGTTACCTGTGGGTTAATTACCTGTTGGTTAGTTACCTGTGGGTTTGGAGAGGTGCATTACGAAAAATAATAATAATAAGTTTCGGCACTTGAGTGTGGGAGGAAAGGTCTGTAAGTCGACAAGGTTGAATTGTGGTGATTAGTGGCTTGTTGGTAGTAATGGAACTGCTTCCTGGAGAGGTGGTGAGTGGTGGTGGTGACGGGTGGTGGTAGTAGTGACGGGTGGTGGTGGTGGTGACGTTTCTGTTTGTTGAGAGTCTATTTCTGTCTGTTGGTCTCTGTCTGTCACCCTCCCTCCCTCCTCTTCTCTCTCATTTTCATTCTCTCCTCCTTTCTCTCTCTCTTTTTCCATCCTGTTCTCTCTCCCTCCATGCTATTTTCTCTCTCTCATTCTCCTTTCGTCATTCCCTCCCGTTGTTTCTACCTCCTTCCCTTCTGTTTTCTCTCCTCTCTCCTTCCCTCCCTCTCACTGTGAGTCATTCATAAGCATATACATGAACACGTCGTCATATTCCGCTAACACAACGCTGACACGAGGTGCTGCACGCCTCAGGTCAGCCTGGGAGGAGTCTAGCATCTTGGGAGGAGGCAGAGAGCGTCCTTATCTTGAAGTTATTTTGAGATGATTTCGGGGCTTTTTAGTGTCCCCGCGGCCCGGTCCTCGACCAGGCCTCCACCCCCAGGAAGCAGCCCGTGACAGCTGACTAACACCCAGGTACCTATTTTACTGCTAGGTAACAGGGGCATAGGGTGAAAGAAACTCTGCCCAATGTTTCTCGCCGGCGCCTGGGATCGAACCCAGGACCACAGGATCACAAGTCCAGCGTGCTGTCCGCTCGGCCGACCGGCTCCCTGGCCATACATTTAGCAAAACCTTTCCTGCCTCCTCCTCAGATCACTGATTTTTGCCTCTAGGACGTGGGTCTAGGTCCAGACCCAGTGGGCACTGGGTCTAGGTCCAGACCCAGTGGGCACTAGGTCCGCCCACTGGGTCTGGGCACCTCAATGTGGGCACCTCAGCACGGTGTAGTTAAATGCCTTAAATACGTGACCGTCGTGCAGAATAACTTATAAGCAGTAATGAGTGAATTGGGTTTTACTTCTTAAATTATTGGGCAGGTGTGTTGCACGATGCTGCCAATGTTAGTCACATGTCAAGCAGATAACTAGGATGTACTCAGGAAATTATGTTATACAATTTACAGAGCAGAAGGGTGTGGGATCTCGGGGTCCTTTGCACAATCTATTCAACTTCCACTAATGCTTATGCAACATTATGCAACATGCAAATCAAGTAACAATTCCACTATGACTCTCAGTGTTTGTAAATCAGGACGTTATGAGCTGCAAGGAAAATATACACACACACACACACACACACACACACACACACACACACACGCAAGGGGGGGGGGCTGGTAGCTGAGTGGACAACGCGCAGGACTCGTAATTCTACGGCCAGGGTTCGATTCCCGGCAGACCAGGCAGAAACCAAGGGGCAGAGTTTCTTGCACCCTGAATGCCCCCTCCCCCCTGTTACCTAGTAATAAATAGGTAACTGGGAGTTAGACAGCTGTTACGGAGCTGCTTCCTGGTGTGTGTGTGTGTGTGTGTGTGAAAAAAAATTAGTTAGTAGTTAGTAACAGTTGATTGAAAGTTGACAGGCGGGCCGAAAGAGCAGAGCTCAACCCCCGCAAGCACAACTAGGTGAATACACACACACACACACACACACACACACACACACACACACACACACACAAAGTCCAAAGGTATGCCACTAGACTAGTCCCAGAACTAAGAGGCATGAGTTACGAGGAAAGGCTGTGGGAAATGCACCTTACGACACTGGAAGACAGAAGAGTAAGGGAAGACATGATCACAACCTACAAAATCCTCAGAGGAATCGACCGGGTAAACAAGGATAAACTATTCAACACTGGTGGGACGCGAACAAGGGGACACAGGTGGAAATTGAGTACCAACATGAGCCGCAGAGACGTTAGAAGGAACTTTTTCAGTGTGGGAGTAGTTAACAGGTGGAAGGCATTAGGCAGTGATGTGGTGGAGGCTGACTCCATACACAGTTTATAATGTAGATATGATAGAACCCAATAGGCTCAGGAACCTGTACACCAGTCGATTGACAGTTGAGAGGCGGGACCAAAGAGCCAAAGCTCAACCCCCGCAAGCACAAATAGGTGAGTACACACACACACACACACACACACACACACACACACACACATATATATATATATATATATATATATATATATATATGTCGTACCTAGTAGCCAGAAAGCACTTCTCGGCCTACTATGCAAGGCCCGATTTGCCTAATAAGCCAAGTTTTCCTGAATTAATATATTTTCTCTATTTTTTTTCTTATGAAATGATAAAGCTACCCATTTCATTATGTATGAAGTCAATTTTTTTTTATTGGAGTTAAAATTAACGTAGATATATGACCGAACCTAACCAACCCTACCTAACCTAACCTATCTTTATAGGTTAGGTTAGGTAGCCGAAAAAGTTAGGTTAGGTTAGGTTAGGTAGGTTAGGTAGTCGAAAAATAATTCATGAAAACTTGGCTTATTAGGCAAATCGGGCCTTGCATAGTAGGCCGAGAAGTGCGTTCTGGCTACTAGGTACGACATATATATATATATATATATATATATATATATATATATATATATATATATATATATATATATATATATATATTTTAGGTGGTTGGTAGTCTTCTTGGTCTAATAGAATATTATCAGGTCTATGTTTTGGTTAGGAGTAGTGCTTTTTACTCCTTTACGGATTATTTCTTTCATTAATCTTTCCTCTTTTATATGTTCACTGTGCATGGTTGATTTGTAATATAATTTTATTGGGGGTGTTGTGGTTTCTGTTCTAGGTTCTGAATTATACCAACGGTCCAAGTGTCTTCTTATAGCAGCGTTTATTTCCGCGTTG